GCCAGGGTCGAGCAGGCACAAGGGCCTCTCGGACTTTGATGACACTTGTCATGTGCTGTGTGTAGACTGGCCTGGGGAAGGGGCAGAGGAAGTGATGGGCTCAGTCCCAGAGCATTGCCCAGCAGAAGTTCTGGGGCCGGGACAGGGCGCTGAGATCTCCATACCCCGTCCGCTCCCTCAAGGGCCGGACAGCTGCTCTGACTGGAGGCCTCTCCCTCAGCCGAGCTCCCGCCTCCCCAGGGCTCTCTGAGCCCCAGGAAACTCACCGCTGACACTCCCTGCCCTCTGTCCTCTTCCCGCCCTGCCGCGGGGCCATTCAGAGGGACAGTGCATCCAGGAGGGCACTCCTGCCACCACCCCAAGGGTCAGCACCCAGGGACGCAGGGCCCAGGCAGTGGTGCAGGAAGTGGGGATAGCTGGGAACTCCCATCCCCAAATCTGGGAGCTGACCTCAGCTTTATTTCCAGAACTTTCCCTGCTAGCCAGGCTCCAAGTGAGAGTCCACGGGTAGAAGTCGGAGTCCCTGGGCTCCGGAGCTGAGGGCTCAGGGCTAAGCGTGGCCCAAGCTCAGGACTCCTGGCAGCACAGTGCCTGCCCCTCCCAAGAGGTGGCCTCACACCCCACCCCGGCCCCCAGGGGCTTCCATCTGTATTTTCACAAGATCCCAGTGACGGGGCTGGCACTGCCTAATTGCAGCCACCAAGCTGCGTCCCAAGACCAGGAGGGGTCAGGGAGGGAGAGAGGACGTCTGGAGGCCAGTGTGGCCTCAGCAAGCACCCCTGAACACCCAGAGGACCCTAAAACCTCCCAGGTAATGGACAGGCAGCCCGGCCAGTGCTGTGTGACCTCGCCAAAGCCACACGGCTCTCAGCTACTAAGGGCACAGTGGGGCAGGGCCGGCCAGAGAGACAGTAGCCTCAGCCATTTCTGGTCCCACAACGGCCTTGCATCGGGAACAACCGATTCTGTGCTGGGGGGCTGCTCCCCCTTCTTCAGCTTGTTTTTATGCTCCCCACTGCCCTCTGTCCTGCAGGGCAGCTGGTCACCACCACACAGCTCCTAGAGGACCTGTGCCATCAGGCTGCATCCTGTTCACAGGACAGACCCGTTGCCCGTGGAGCCAGCTCACAGACAGCCCGGCCGCTCACCTTGGCATCCCCTCTGCACCAAGGCAGCCTGTCACCGCCTCGGCACGTTGCTGCTGCTGCTTTTTCCCGTCTCCCAGAGAGGAAGAAGCTGCATTCCCGGGCACTGTCCCCCGACCCAGCTGGCGGCCCCTGTTCCCCTCCACCACCACCCCTGGAGAGTCCCCCCTGGCCAAAAGGGGCAGCAGGGTCACTAGCCCCCAGACTCTTCCTGGGGAGCTCACTCTCTCACAAGTGCTTCCTGTCAGCAGTGGAAGGCCGGCCAGATGACCGTGCAGGTCAGCACCTGCCCCCGCAGGCACAGACTCCTCTGGGGTCCTCCGGGATGGGTGGGGGGGGGGCGCTTAAGTTGCTCACCTTTCAGGTGAGAGGGCCCACTGAACCCGGGAGCGGGTTCACGCACCTTGGGGGGAACAGGCACTCCCAGAGGTACTAGGGGTCCACAGGAGTGATCCAGAGAGTGAAGCCAGGACCCAGGAAATACTGAGCGGGGCCCCTGTCACCGAGCCCCAGAGACTGAGCGTCTCCGTCTCCGGCAGCTGCTTTGTGAGGTCTCAGAGGCCCAACCCAGGCAGGGGAACAGAGCCCAGGACGGAGGCAGGACCGATCTGCCCAGGCCCAGGGCATGGGGCGGGGGGGGGGGGGGGGGGGGGGGGGAGGGGGGCGGGGCAGTGTGGTTCCACCAGATCCCCCTGTTGCAGATGGGGAAACTGACCACCAGAGACAGCTCAGAGCCCATGCAGGATGCCCCGGCAGACAGGCTGCAGAAAGGTGCGGGCAGCAATACTGTGTCTGGGCAGGGAGTCGGCTGACAGCTGCGCCTGGGCAGTGGGTCCCGTTTCCATGAGGGCAGAGTCCCGCTGTGAATGGCCGACAGGACGACCCCAAGGGACCTGTGTCTATGCCCTGGCTCAAAGCTTTCAGAAGACTTGAGCGAGGACAAAAGAGGGTCAAGGGACAAGAAAGAAGGGGCATCCTGGTGCCTGCTTCTACTCTCCCGGGCCATGCCAGGGTTGGGAACACAGGACGGTTCACAGACAGACACTGCATGCAGGCCCTGCCCTGCAGTCACAGCCATACGACACTGCCCAAGACACCTGCTCACAGACACCAGGACACACACACACACACACACACACACACACACACACACGCACGCACGCACACACACTTATGCACAGGGGTCTGACGCTTGAAAGAGGACCCAGAGAGATGTCACCTCATCACTCGGGCATTTTCCTCTCTTCCTCCCAACACTGTGTTTGGCTTGTGCTGGTTTCCCACCACCCAGCTGCGCTCCTGAGTAATACAGGAGTCCCACGAAGGATCCAGCCAAGACCTAAGAACTCAAGCGAGGGGACCAGGGCTCGGGGTGGGAGACAGGGGAAGGGGAAGCTCAGAAATGTCCCAGATGAGACACAAGGCCAGGGAAAGAGGGGTCTCTGCAGCCAGGTCAGTCCTGGGGAGAAGCACTGGCCTTCCTCACCCGGGAAAAGGGGATGCCGGAAGTGGCCCGTGACAGGGAGCCCTGAACCCCAGACCACAAAGCTTCATCGATCATGGTTTGCTGGTGATTCTTTATTAAACCAATTCTGTTGGATCAATGCTTCCTGCCTGTCAAAATGATGAATAAATCCTCCACCAGCCGGAGCAGGGCTTGCTGAAGTGCTCATGAAGCCAGAGCTGGGCAGTGGGGACCAACTGCCACAGCCAGGTCCAAGGCCAGCGGCTGAAAGTCAGGAGGCTGAGATTTGGGGCATTGGCAGGGGAAGCGGGTGAGGCCGCCAGGTCCCGGGCTCTTAGAAGAAGAGACCCCTCACACACACACACACACACACACACACACACACACACACACACGCGCGCGCGCATGCAGATGGTCTTTCTTGGTGTTCTTTCCTGACAACCAGCACCGGCCAGCGACAGACTGCCTGCTTGCAAGCATGTACACTTCCAGTGACCAGTTCCTGTGGCCACCTGCACGAGCCCACACTCGAAGCCCAGGCTGACCCCTTTACCGTGGCTCAGCTGGCAAGCCCCACCTTCGTCCCTACCACGCTCACCCTCCACCATGTCCCGGAGAACTGATAGTCAGCGGGCAATTCTGCTGTCAGGGCCAAGGTGGGCAAAGGCAGGGCAGGAAGGACACAGTCCATCCCGTCCTAGCCCTTCACTGCGCTGACCCCTGACACCCCGACCCCCACCACAGGCAATGGGAACATGAGAACACAGAACACAGGCTTTCAGACAACAAAGAGGCGGGAGCGAACGAGGGGAGGGAAAGCCGCCCGACAGGCTCAAGGGGCTGCAGGATTCAGTCCATCTGCTACCAACACCGACACCAAGGTGTTCCGAGGGAGGAGAAGAAGGGGAAGCAGGAGCCCTGACACCCGGGTGGGGGTGCCAGAGGGATGCTCCACCCCAGCTCGGGCAGGATCCTAAGGTCCTAGAGCATGGGGGTGGCAGTGGGTGACACTTTAGAACCTGGCGCCAGCTTCAGTCTGGGGGCGCGGGCTTGGGGGGCTTGCTAGCTGCGTGCAACTCTGAAGACAGACCATGGCTGTCTAGGGGACTGTCCTCTGGTCTTTCCCTCTGACAGAGGGGACCCGAGAGAGCAGTGCCTCAGAACTCAAGGGAGGGGACCCTCAGTACTCCGTCTATTTTGAGCCACTGAGTCTTGCCTGACTGGTCATTCCCAGCCCCAGAAATGTCGCTCATTGGATGGAAAATGGTTTCGCTCTCATTACAAACCTTGCTTCCCTAGAGTTAGCAGAGAGGGCTTGGCACTGGCAAAATGCTCATTGATATTGGCAGGCAGGCAGGGGCAGGAGCTGAACAGTGGGCAGGGCCCAGAGAAAGAGAGTGACACCAGCTCAAACGGTGGCGAATGTTCTCCAGACCCTCACTTCCACCCTGGGTATCTGGGCAAGAACAGGGACTTGGAGGTCCCCCACGACCTGGTCTGAAACAGGGGCATCTCTGACCCTAACTTTGAATACAATCTCCAAGCTCCCTCTGCACATATGTCCGCACACCTGGGTCTGACCCTGGGGTCACAAGGAGAGGACAAGGTCTAACTGCCTGACAGTCTCTCAGTTGGTCTGGGGACCCCCAACTGACCCAAGAGAGATGCAGCAGCTGCAGAGGCTGGAGTTACTGGGGTGAGGACCAAGGACTGGAGGAACTGAGGCTGGGGGTGGAGGGGTCAGAGGACATTACTCATTAACCTGGACATCAGGCATCCTCACTGACCACCACTGGCAAGGTCATCCTCTCTTCCAAGACCCAATGCCAAGTGCCCGGGGCACCTGGCCCTGACCCACCTTAGCATGAGGTGTCTGTGCCTGGAGCCGGGGTGTATGTTGAGTGTTCACACCACGACTGATGCCCCAGAAAACTGCATCCTCCAAGGGTCCTGCCCTCCCGCCCCAGCGGCAGTTCCAACGTCAGCAGGCAGATGTGAATGTCCAGGGTGGGCGACCCCCCAAAAGCCAGCCAGCTACTCTGAGCTCTTGCCGGCTCTGGAGACTGCCGGACCCGGAGCTGCCGGCCCCTCTAGACCCGGGGAGGTGGGAGACGGGAGGAAGGGCTGCCAGGAGGCAGAGTCCCAGCCAGGCCAGACTCAGAACCGCCGTTCCAGCCAGTCTCCAAAGTGGCCTAGGAGGAGAGGCGGCGGCCCCGCGCCCCGCGCGCACGGAGGAAAGTTCCCGGCGCGGTGCGGAAGCCTGGGGGTGCCTGGGAGCCCAGGGGCGCCCCACTGCTCTCGGAGCTCCCCGCGCGAGCAAGGAAAGTAAACTCCGGCGGAGGGGCAGGGCCGGGAGCGGACGCGCGGCGCGGCGGGCGCGGACCCCTCACCTGAAGTCGCTGTAGGGGTGGATGATCCAGAACCCGGCCGACTTCACCCGCTCCTGCTCGCGCTCCACCGCCTTCTGGCTGCCGAACATCCGCAGGGAGAATTTGTTGACCCCGGGCTGGAGCATGGCCCCGAACTGGCGCTGCATGAAGCCGGCCTGGCCCAGGCGCACCTCGGCCTCGGGGAGGATCTGGTCCCCGGCGGCGGCCGCGCCTCCCTCCACTTTGATCGCCGCGTCCGCCGGGGGCGGCTCGCAGGAGGCGGAGGCCGGCGGCGGCGGCGGCGAGGCGGCGGGCGGCCCCGGGGCGCCGGGGCGCTCGGGCTCGCCGGCCAGGCCCGGGGGCGTCCTGTCCTCGCCGGGGGACGCGTCGCCCTCGGCGATGAGCCGCCGCTCCTCGGCGGAGCCGTGCGGGTGCGCGTGGCCGCCGCCCCCCGCGCCGCCGCCCCGGCTGCCCAGCGAGGCCAGGCTCCCGCGGAAGCGCCGGCAGTCGCCGTTGGTGCTGGACTTGCCCGCGCCGCGGGCCGGCCCCTCGCCGTCCGCCGCCGCCCCGGGGGCCGCGCCCCGGGGCTCCGAGGGCGAGGGCGAGGGCGAGGGCAGCGGCCGCAGCCGGATGCTCCTGCGCCCGGGGTCCCGGCGGCCGCCCGCCGCCTCCTCCCCGGCGTCCTCGTCCTCGTCCATGATCCACGCCTTGGCCCCCACCTGCTGCGGGAGGCTGTAGAGCCGCTGGCGCATGGACGGCGGCAGCTTGTCCATGGCGCCGCCGGGGGCCGGGGCGCGGGCGCGGGTGCGGGTGCGGGTGCGGCCGCCGGCCCCAGGTCCGCGCGCGGGTCGGGGCGCCGCGGGGACGCGTCCTCCGCGCGGGCCGTTCAGGCGCCCATGCGGGCACGCGGCGGGGGGCGCCGGGCCGGTGCCCGGGCGCGCGCGCGCTCCGAGGGGCGCGGGGGGCCCCGCGCGGCCGCCGCCCGCCCGCGAGCAGGGGCGCCCCGCCCCGCGGGGAACAATGGGCGCGGGGAGCCGCTCGGGGGCGCCGGGCGCGCGGCCCCGTCCCGCAGCGCCGCGGGTCCCGGGGGGCTCCGGCGGCCGCTCGCTCGGGGGCTCGCGCGCGCTCGGCCGGCCGAGGCCGGCGGGCCGGTCCCGGGGCTCCCCGCCGCAGCCCGGCCGGGCTTACATCAGCGGCCGCCTCCCCCGGAGCGCCCTCCGGCAGCGCCCGGGCTCCCGCGCCCCGGAATATTCATGAAGCGCCGCGGCTCGCGGGTTGCCATAGGAGCGGCTCCCGCAGCCCGGCCGGCCTACCTGCGCTTCTTAAAGGGGCAGCGCGCCGGGCCCGGGGCGGGCGGGGGGCGGGCCCCGCGGGGGGCGCAGGCCGGACCCTCCGCGGGCGGGCGGGCGCGCCGGGGCCCGGGCCCCGGGGCCGCGACTCCCGCGCTCGCGGGTCTCCGCCCCGCAGCCGGGGCGGGGGGCGCGCCCCGCGCCCAGGTTCCCTCCGGGCGAGGGGTTCCCCACCCCGAGATCGGGGGGGCGGGGTTTCCCGATCGCGGCTCGGGCGCCGCGCCCCGTTTCGCCGGGTCCCCGCCGGGTCCCCGCCGGCTCCCGGGAGGCTGCGGCTCGGGTGCACGCGGAGCCCCGGGGCCTCCCCGCGGCGCGCCCCGAGCCGGGGGTTTCCGCGGAGCGCGCTGCGTCTGGGTAGCTCCGGGGGGTTCTCCTGTGGCGCGGGCGGGGGGCGAGCCCCGCGCCGGTCTCGCCCTGCGGAGCCTGGCCAGGAGCGCGCGGGGCAAGCGTGGGGAGGCTCCGGGCGCGCGGGTGGGACCCGGACAGCCCTTCGAGGTAAGACTTCGAAGAAACGCACCCGCGGCGGCCTCGGGCGCCGACCCGACCCCCGCGCGCCGCCGGGGCGGGGCGGATCCGCCGGGGCTGCCCGACCCCCGAGGGGCTGCAGCGGGGAGCCGGCGAGGCGGACTCCGCGGGCGACCCGGTGCGCCTGGGCAAGCACCGCGCCTCCTGGTCCGGGGGCTTTTATTCCCGGACCGGGACACTCCGAGGGGGAACTCGGGGAATTCCGGTACCGCAGGGTGGTCCCCGCCCCCGACCCCGCCCCGCAGCGCCCGCTCCCCGCCCCCACCCCTGGCCAGGCGGGGACCCAGTTGCGGCTTCCCTGCCGGAGTAGTCCCAGAGCGCAGGGACACGTCTCTTGGCGATGGCAGCTCTCTCCTTTCTCTGCCCTAGGGCAGCCTGACACCCCGCATTCCCTATAGGCCGCCCCTCTCCCCCGGCCTGGGGGTCCTCAAGGTGGTTCAGAGGTTACACGGGCCAGGTCGGGGCCAACACCCCAAATGAGCTTGGAGAAGGGGTGCCGGGGAAACCTGGGGTTTGGATGGGGGAGGGTGACTGCTGAACCGGATGCTTTGACAAGAGGGCACACACACACACACACACACACACACACACACACACACACACACACACACACACACCTGTCCTGGCCCTGCCCCTCACTGAGGAATAAAGGAAGTTTTTCCTTCACGGGAATTTAATTCTCCTACTTAGCCCACTTGTGACTACCCCCCTGCATCCCGTTTCGAGCAAAAACTGCAGGAAGCAGGTGTGTGTTGGGGGAAGGCGACTGGACAGTGGCTTGACTGGGCTCTACCTCTTGGACCCAGGACACCTTCTGTGGGGGCAGGGTGGGGGTGGCCGGGGTATGACATCACCCTTGCTGGCACTTCTACTCTGGAGCTGCTCTGAGCTGCCAGTTCTCTGCACAGATGCTGGGAGGCCTAATCCCCGGATGTCCTTGTGTCTCCTTGAGAAGGAGTGTTCTTAATGGGGCGTGAGCGGGCGGGCACGGGGCAAGATGTCCATGCCACTCTCCTCTTGGGGCCGCTGCGGTGGCCCGCAGTCCCTCAGAGCCTGGTGCCCCCAAATGGCCTTGCTGTTGCCCCAAGGCAGCTGTGCACCCTTCTCTTGGAGCTCTTCCTGGACCACTTCATGCTGGCCAGACCCTCCAACCCGCCCGGTCCCTGCGCTGGTCCCCATGGCCCCTGGTGATCACCTGTCAACCTGAGCTCCCAGGGCGCGGTGCAGTGCACGTCGCCACGACAGCCCAGAGCTCCCTGGGGAAGGACAGGTCAGCCTCTCGCACCAGAGACAAGGGCAGGCAGAGAGCAGAGCAATCGATGTCCGCTCCCTGGATGAGGGCCCCTGGGGAAGCTGCTGCCCTTGCAGGCAGTGGTGGAGAGGGAGCTGAGTGTTCCCCGAGTTCTGCTTCCTGGGATGCCGCTCCTGCAAACCAAGACCCCGTTGTTTCTCCTCTAGCACCCCACTGCCCTCAGCGTGCGCCGTCGGGACAATCTAGAACCACTCCGGGATGCAGAAGTGGCAGCTAGATGGTGTGGGTCTTGCCCTTGGGCGGGGAAACTAGGGTCAGGCTCAGGGAAGAGGAGAGGCCAGCCCCGAGAGAAGAATGGACATACATCGGGACTCAACCAGTGAGAGAGTTGAGGACCCCTCACTCCCCACTCACTGAGCTAGGAGTAGCTCTGGAGGACTTCCTGGAGGGAGGGGTAGGACATCATAAGAGCCGTGTTTTCAGCAAATTCTAGCTCACATTCATGTGTTACATCATGTGGGATTTGTCACTCTCCTTCACCAAACGTGGTTGTGAGAGGTTTTTTTTTTTTTTTACAATTTCACTGGGCTCAACAGTCTCACTCCAATGGACAAGAGAGTGAAGTGCACAGAGAGGTCTAGTGACTTGCCCAATGACCCACAGCAAGGAAAGGGTGGGGCTGGGACCAAGGACTCTGCTGATCAGGCTCTTCTCTGCTGCCTCACTGACCCCCAGGGTTCGGGGTGGCCTGGGCCAGGCACAGGAGGGAGAGGTGGTTCAGCCCCAATATTCTGTACCCTCCCCGTTACTCCCGGAAGTCACCCCCTCTTCCCAGCACCACTGACAGGCTTAGGGTCTTCTCTGGTTTGTGTGTTAAGGGAGATCTGAGGCTGCCAGCCAGAGATAGACCCCGCCTCCAAGCTCGTGTTGAAAGAAGTCCTTTGTTTGCTTTTTTTGTTTGTTGGGAAGACCACACCCCGAGGTGCTCAGAGCTTACTCCTGGCTCTGCACTCAGGGCTCACTCCTAGCGGGCTCAGAAGCCCATATGGGGGGCTGGAGATCAAACTGGCGCCAGCCTTGAGCCAGGCAGGCACCTCAAGCCCAATGCTATCTCTCCGACCTGGGGAAAGACCTCTGTTTTTGCTTTGGTGGGGAGATCTTTGGATCTCAGGAGTGTCCTTGAGCAACTGAGTATCTTGGGGAGAAAGGAGCTTCTTGAAGGCTTATGAGGTGGGGGGGGGGGTGGGGGGCGGGAACTGAGAGTTTCTGAAATACAAACCCCCAGAAATTCTGGGTCTAAGAGCCAGGGGTCACCCGGTATGGATGCTCAGGTCAAAGGAGCTCCCAAGACCTGCACATAAGGCACAGAGCTGATTGCACGGATCCCTTAAACCTCACTTGCTGGAAATTTGGAAATTTGGCTGGGCATAGCAGGATGGGAAGTACTATGAATTGATTTGCTTGTGGGCCAAGGGTACTGTTTGTGTTTGAGGCTCTCACGCCCTGTACTACTATGGTGTTAACCGGTTCCATTTTATTTTATTTTATTTTATTTTATTTTTTTGCCAGTTCTATTTGAGAGAGAGAGAAAGAGAGGGAAGGAGGGAGAGGGAAGGAGGGAGAGAGAGAGAGAAAACAATGCTGAATATTTTAGTGTGAGATTGCCAACTGTCCTTTCTTAGAAGGCTGCCTCTCACATCCAATCCTTGCCACATTTTGTGTTAAAATGTCCTTTTATGAAATCATAGTTGCTGAGAGATGGTTTTGGTTTTTCCGTTTCTTTTTTTTTTTTTAATGTCCCTGGCTAAATAAAACTTTGGCATAAGGTTCTGTGTTTGTTCCCAAAAACCATTTTTGAAGTGTTGTTGGTCTGTGAATTCCAAAAGTCTGGGATCCCCTGTCGTAAACAGTAGAGCACGAGACTGGGGAACAAACGCCGCCGGAGGAGGAAACATTTCTCCTTCTTGCACTGCCTGTGAGGGCCTCAGCCTTCCTGGTGTGCAAAATGGGTTTCACAGCCTGTCCTTCGCACTGCCGTGAAGACCGAATGGGACAGTGGGTGTGCTGAGTGTGGTGTCTCTGTGGTTCCTTCTCAGTGAACGCTGGTTTACGGGACCTTGCAGGAAGTCAGAGGGGAGAGGGACGGTAGGGACGGTCTCTGGCGTCTGTTTGGGGTCACATACTCATCTTAATGGTTGCTGTTAGTGAAGACTGTTGAAGAGAGAGGGCACAGGCCTTGGATGTGCTGGTTCCACCATGTGGTCCCTGGCATAGTCCCCCAAACACCGCAGGAGGTTACCCTGGTGGCACTCCTTGTCCCCAATACCAAAGAGTCAGATCTGCACAGTCAAGCCCAGCATTGCCAGGTAGTGACCTCCAGAACCCCAAAGCAGTGCTGGAGAGAAGAAGGGGAGGATGCTGTTGAACAGGAGTTTCCTTGCTAGATGGGATGCCTTTCTTTGAGTTCTCTTGCTCCCCTGGCTGGGCCTCTAGAAGGCGACTCTTCTCCAGGATGGCTGCTAGCCTAAGTGGGATCTTAGGGAGCTGACTCAGGTGCTTACACACCTGACCTGATATTAAAGATCCCCGTCTCCCTGGGTGCCCTGTCTCCAGGGTTTCTGGTGAAGACACTGGACCAGGCACCGGG